TTTGAGGGGGAAATGGAAAAGTTTCCAAAGCATTTCTAGTTATTTATTTCCATATTGTGTATATGCTTTATCTTGAATATAAAAATAAAAATTTATTAAAAACTTTTTTCTTGCCTTGGAACTGAATCCCTCATTTTAAAGAAGAGTAGCAAATACTACACAGAAAAGGAATGTGTAGTTGTGTCTAAGTAAGATTTCAGTGTAGTCTAATCTCTGATCTCTTTTTTTAAACTTCTGTGGCTGCAAGATGTTTAACTCACAGAACTCTTTATGACAGAACACTGGGAACAGCAGAATTTCCCCAAATATCTGGTCTTCAGGAGATGGCCTTTCTCCTTTCTCAAGGAGAGAAATTCACCTGATGCATGGCAGTGATAATATGCAGTATCATAGTGTCAGGGGTTAAAGCAAAAGCAGCTTCAGAGCAACACCTGTGTCTGAGGGCTGGCTTTGTCACTTGCTAGCTGAGTGAACTCAATAAATTGCACAAACTGAAGTTCTGTGGAAATATTTTAGAAACTCTTCCCAAACAGAATATGTAATTATGGTCTATATGAAGTGTAAGGGTCCAACCCCTTCACTTACAGGGGATTAATTGAAACCCAGAGGGAAAATGGCTAACCCACAGTCAGGGGCTGGTTGAGGCCAGGCGGAATAAGAATTCAGTGCCTAATTCCCACCAGGCTGCCTCTACCTTCATCATTAATATTCACAGAAATGCAAGAAGCCAGCAAGTATTTCCTAACAAACACTCATAGTATGAATGATAATCAGTTTCTTTCCTCAAAGTTCTCTGTTTTCCAAGACTTTAAGTTCATCTACTTACATTAGGAAGAATGTTTGGTGCTGCATTCAGTCATCTCTTTATTACCTTGTTTTTAACTCAGCTCACCTCTCCTAATTAAAAGAGTGTGTTCCACTCTCCAGGTTAAAACTCTGATCACTAAAAGGTGGGAAACAAATTACAGGACATTCTAGATATTTCAAAGTAATATAGACCCCCAATTCTCAGCTAAGACTCGATCAAAACCTGTTTTTTCACTGTAACCGTAACCAAATAATGTTTAGATGTAAGGCCACTAGAGGCCACTGCTCTCTAATTTTTGTTGGTTTGTCTATCTCACTGTCTCAACCTGATCCACTCTAAAATCATTCTAAAGATGCCTAGACTGCAACAACTAAAAAAATGAAACTTGATAGATGCATTTGGTAAATGTCTGTGGAATGAATGGCTGGACAGTGAGTGCCCTACAGCAGCTATCAGCACACTTTTTCTGTGCAGAGCCAGATAGTAAATATTTTAGGCTCAACTATGACAACCACTCAGCTCTGCCGTTGTAGTATGAAAGCAGCCATAGAGGGAACATCAAGGAATGGGCATGGCTGTGTTACAATAAAACTATTTTTGGAAACAAATTTGAGTTTCACATAATTTTCACGTCACAAAATATCTTTTGTTTTCCAACCACTTAAAAAAGTAAAAACCATTCTTAGTTTACAGACTGGAGGATTTGGCCCGTAGGTTGTCATTTGCCCACACCTACTTGCCACAGGGAACTGAGTTGTGTCTGGCACATTTTTTAAAGACCTTAAGAAATGTTTCATGGATGGATTACTGAATTAATGTCAAATTTAGAGAGAGAATCGTGTCCCTCTTATAATGCTGCCAGGTGTGTGAGTCCTAACAATCTCTCTAAATAATAACTGGCACCACAATTCTTCCAGGAACTTCATATTTGGAATCAGAAAATCTGGGCTCACATTCTGACTCCCTCAGACGACTGCTGGATGACGTGGATGGTCATAAGCCCTATTCTGGAGCCTCAGTTTCCTCATCTGTAAAATGGCCCGGACTAACACACCCACCCCACAGGGCAGCTGTGAAAGTCCAATAAGAGCCTTCAGTAAACTGGACGATGAGATGCAAGTGGAGGTAGTATTGCTTCCACCATAATTCCCTTTATTATGAAAGGGTTATCTTTTATTTTCTTTTTTTAAACTAATCTTCCTATAACCTTCTGTTCCTTAGACCAGATCCCAGGACGGTAGGAAACAGAGGTAGAACTGGTGAGGAAGTAACGATACCGTGAAAGCATTTTTTAAATCGTTTACCAAGTGCTTTCCATATACATCCTCATACCAACACTTTAAAATATGTATGATCATTATGTCCCCCACTTCACTGTTGGGGAAACTAGGGCGTAATAGGTTAAAATATCTTGCTTACAAAAACAATTCTAAAAAGTAGTGGAAGCCGTCTGACTCTAAAGCCCGAGCGATTGAGCAAAGTGGCTTAGTTCCTCAAAGGGAGGGAGGAGACCAGGTGAAGCCCATCTGAGGGCGGGCCCTCCCCCAGTCAGAGTTGCTGCTGCCGCTTCAACTTGAAACAACTCCAGCTGACCTTCGCATGGTTAGTACAGTCCCAAAATACGGAGGCTGCTGATTTTCTGATGCAGGCCTCAAATGACCCACTCAGACACGGGATGCAGTAAAAACGTAATAGAGACAACACTGCAAACTATACAACGTCTACCGTATGAAATACACAGCAACTAAAGAGAATGAATAAAAACCACGTGTTGATGTGGTATGACGTTGAAGGTATACCTTCGCAAAGGCAAGTTGCAGTTATTATATACTGCATCATCTTATTTATATACAAAAACAAACCAAAACCATGTATTTTTATATGTACATTTTGACATATATAAATGTACAGAACACGTTCTTGAATTATATAAGCCAGGTGATGAGGGCAATTCTTGGGAGGGGAGTGGAACTGAGTTGGTGTCAAGGGGTATTTTGTGGTATCTTTATTATTAGAACTCTTTATAATGGGGGTGGAGTGCATAAATACATTATTTGTATAACCTGTCATTTATATAGTCTAAAAATATATAATTTGCATATTTACTAATAAAATATTTAGAAGAGGAGGAAGAAATCACTCCATGAGGATGGAGTGACCCTAAGTGTTTTCAGCCCTGATTTCTGCCCCGTATAAGCTCTGTGTCCTTGAGCAAATCACTTTCCCTGACAAAGTCTGTTTCCTTTTCTATAAAATGAAGTCAGTAATCCCTCCCCGCAAGCTGCTGGGAGAGGCTCAAAGATCTTGCTGTGAAAGCGCACAGAAGCTGTAAAGTGCTGAGAAGCCTGCAGTGCTGAGTTGATGGGACGTATGGGAACATTTCCATGTAGTGTTCCAAGTTCCAACTAGAAATGTGAGGAAGTCAAACTGCCTTCCACTGGGGTCCCTCCTGCTGTGGGCAGCCCCAGCGATGGTCTGAAACACAAAAGACTAATCCTCTCTTTGGCTCACACACCTGATTCCCAGGGTTCTTTGCTGGTTACTCAGTGACTCCAGGCTGCTGAATACTGGGAAGACTATGAAAGATCAGTGTGGAAGGGCCTTTCCTCCTGATCAATCATCTACCTGAATCCCTGCAATGTATGAAGATGGAAATTGAGGCTCAGAGAGTGAAAGGGAGCAGAAGAAGGTACAGAGGGTGTGTGGCAGGGTTTCACTCTGGAGTAGGCATGTCCCAAGTTCCTTTCCAGGTCCCAGGATGACATGGAAGGGAAGTTCTTAGGCAGCATGAGGAAAGGGGCCAGCCTTGGCTTGTTCACTGCTCCCTCCTGGAACAGGGTCTGCCACGTGGATGTGGAGTAAGTCAGTCCAAATAAGGAACCGTGTTGCACACGTCTAGGACCATGGGCTTTAGAGTCAGACTGCCGATGTTCCCATTCCAAACCACACTTCCCAGGTCTATTACCTTGGACTAGTCACCAGATCTCTCAGCGGAGGCATGCTCATCTGGAAAGCAGGGTAAATTCTGGTACTTATCTTGTAAGGGCCTTATGAGGATTAAATGAGATGATCCATGCAAATAAAGCACTTAACATAGTACCTGGCAGAAAGGAGCTCATTAAATGTTACTTCTCTTGTTATTGCTACATTATTACATTATTATTATTATTTTATTATTACCTAAGACATGTTCTGGGGAGAGCTGAAAAAGGAAGGAAAAGGAAAGGAGAAACCTAATCTGAACCGAGTGTAACAGTAGTTAAAAATATAAGCAGTTTCACTTCCTTTCTCTCTATGCTGCCACAATATGCGGAATGCAGCTTGTCATGAAATCACATTAGCTCATAAAGTTTGGGAGTTCTCTCTGGTAAATTCCCTTTCACCTCTTCTCGGCTTAAAGAACCCCTCGTGGGAGGCAGGTGCCTTAACAGCTCTCTGACACTCTCCCTTTCAAACTCGGAAGCAGAGAGGAGGCTCTGTGCGTTGGCTTCCCGTTAGAACTTAATCATCTTGCTTTGTTTTCATTGATTCCTCTCTATGGCTGCTTTCTATTAATGGCAATTCTGAATTTCTACTTGGGGTACTGATACAGTGTTTCTTTCTAAGATAAATTTATGTAAGTGAAAACTTGAATTGACTTAAATAAAAATATTAAGTAAATAACAGTATAGGCAAGACACACGTTTGGTAAAAATACTCGGGTGACACATGTTGGAACACTCAACAATCCTACCAGCTCAGAGATTTTCTCCATTTTGTAGATGACATAAGTGAAGCAAGTGCTGGTTAAGGCCCAAAGTGACATGATGTCCCAAACTCAAGCCTTCAAATCCATCCCTGATTTGTTTAAATTCAAACCAAATATTTGGCCTCAGTTTTCTAGGCTAGATGGAAAAGAGATTGCAAATTATGACTAGAAGTGGTAAGTGCATCAGTCTTTTTTTTACCCCCTCTAGAGCAGCTATTACAGTAAGGACTTTGACTAGAGTAAAGCAGAGTAATACAGAAAAAGAGAAAAGCAATATTGATCTCTCACCAAAGAGAGATATAACACCAAAGAGAAAAACGGGTAGACAGCACAGCACCAAGAAGGCATTACTTTTGTCCTTACTTGAAGAAAATAACAAAGTCTATTTAATGATAGCCACTCCCCAGCAATCCACCCCACTTCCCTCCCTCATCCACCCCCATGCCCACACCCCCATCCCCCAGCTAGACAGAAATTTGCTTCAGGACAGAGCAAGTTAGCAGCACGAAGTGGAAATGTTGGTGAGATAAAAGGTGAAGTCTCAGAAAGAACGAGTTTTTCTGCAAACACATACTTGAGTGTTAGTTGAAGTTGGTTTTCATCCCTTTTGCTTCCTAGCTGCTGATCATGAGCTGGATAGGGAGTTTCAGGGCTTCTACCTGGACAGCCCTGTAGGCTGGAGAGTCAAGGTGCAAAGCAGCACAGGTGAACCCCCTTTATCCCGGGCATGGGGCAGTCTAATTGCAGCATCCATCACCCCAGTGACTGTCAAGGCCAATCTGGCAGATGTGGCTGGGGCCATGGGCCCTTCTCTCGGGGAGCATCCCTTCATGACACTGCAGGCTTTCTGAAAGAGGATGGCCTCAGAGAAGACAGCAAAGTACTTCCTTCCTTGACAAGCTCCAAGTCTCCTCCTTCTGAGGCTTTCACACACATGCCATATTACCTAGACTCCCGGGAGCCAGAGATTTAAATAATGCCAGGCTAGTAGCTGTCCAGATAGAGCAAGCCTGCTTCTGTTCTGTGAAGCTCCAACGTGAGCATTTGGTGCATCACCCACACCATCCCAGCTCTGCTCCAAAGACACAGCAAAATTTGCTTGTGAGGCCCTCTCTGCAAAGGGGTCCTTCTTCTTGACAATGGCAAGGGCTCCTATTCCTGCAATTGCTGTCCTTTCCCTGAACCAGGGTGCATGTGACCTCTACAGATACCATTCATAGGCTGGCCCACACAAGCATGACCAAAGAGTCCAGAAGATATGGACCCGTGACATGGTAAGGTCTCATTTTCCCATCTATGTTGTAATCTATAGATCCCTGTCGAGTTCAAGTTGCCATTTAATATGGGAGACTGCCACTGAGAAATAATAGTTTGCATACGCAGATATGCTTGCTAAGCTCCTGGGAAGAAAAACTTTTCATAGGGAAGAAATCCTACTGTATTTATGTATGTGTGTATGCATGTATGTATTAAATAGTAGAAATTATTGACTTTGGAGGTATTAAAGTTTACCAGCTGCCTCAACGCACTAAACGTTTTCCTCCTCACTGTGAGCTGGCTCTATGACTGTCTTAGTCTTTCCCTAAGAAGCTCTCTGTGCTTTGATGAGAGGAGAGACCACATTAAGACAGCATGTGGAAAACTCTGGACCCCCAAATTCACTCATCTCTGCCTTTTCCATGAAAAAGTGGGGAAAAAAAAGGAAATGCAACTCTGAGGAGTCTTATTTAGCCCTCAGCACAGGGAGGGTTCCATCTAGGGGGTGACCAACCAGCCTAGTTTGTCTGAGATTGAGAAGTTTTCTAGAATGTGGGACTTTTGGTGCTAAAACCAGGGTGCTGGTCACCCTAATCCTATGTGGAGTCTGACCATTTCTGGGGACAGAGAGAAGAGGGAGGGCTAACGAGTTCTTCCCTCATGGATGAAACGGGTGAGTAAGAGGCAACTGTCGCTTCTGAGATCACTTGGGAAGGAAGGAGGGGCCAACAGCCCAAGTAGAAGGGCAAGGAGAACTGGTGAGGTTAGAAACTTTGGCACAGCTTTATCTTGTAGTTCATGTTACGTATGCTCCCAACCATCCCCCACATTGCCTGTTCCCTAGGCTTCCCTATAAGGATCAGCAATTAACCCTTTCAGTGGGGTTTTTATCAGCAGCCAAAAGAAAGGCAACTGTAAAACCTCAGAGTCTCAACCTGAGGGGATAATTCACCCCAACATAAAGTCATTTGTTGGTAGCTTTGACATTAGGGAAGCATCTCCTTAGGAGATTGGAGGAAATGAGATACTGGAAAAGGTGTAGAAAAATGGTAGCCCAGGAACTTCACAGGCAGGAGGCCAGTGAAGTTTCCCAAGAAAGTAAGGCCCTAAAAGGTGTCTTATAGGAGCAACTGAGTTTCCCTCCCAAAATCTGAATTGTAGGACAATTCTCAATCGACATTCTCGGTAAAGATGTAGGTCCTTTCCCCATTGTCATGGAAGGGGAGTGAATCAAGATTTACTTCAAATGACCTCACAGCCAGTATGCCAATGAGAAAATGTCATCTTTAAACACACAGACACACACAGACACACACACACACACACACACACACACCAGACCAGCTGTAAAGATGCCTTCTGGTAATGGATCCAAACCAAAACCTAAGCAGAGTTTCCAAAGTCTATCCCCAAGAAAAAAAGAAAAATATTCAGGTCTATGAACCAAAAAACACGGATGCTTCACTTGTCATAATTCAGTTCTTCTGGACAGACACTTGGCACTACTATCAACCTAATTTCATTAATAAAAGCCTTGATTAATTCACCCACCAATGAAAGTCCAGAGGAAGATGGCCAGAATGGAGAGGAAATAGGAGCTGTTGAGTTCAAAGAAAAGACTTAAAAGGGTGGGTAGGCGGCAGATCATTGTCTTCCGATATTTAAGGGCTCTCAGTGGAAGAAGGGGCCAACTGCTTGTTCCCAGATGCAACTAGAGCAGAGACAAATTTGTGTTCCAACAAAGGAAAAACCTTCCTTATAACTAAAGCTTCTCCACAATAGAAGGAACTGCATTAGGAGGTAGTGAGCTCCTATCCCTGGAGGTGTACAAGCAAAGACTGACCAACTTCCAGGGACGCTATGGAGGATGCTGCTTCTGTGTTGGCTGCGAGCCTGCATCTGATGGTGCCTGAAGTCCCTTCTCAACTCTGAGATCCTCCATGCTCTGGCCTTGGATCCTGTCCAACCCTGTCATCCATGTACCTTTCCTGGGCCCTTGGTCCCACTGCCCCATGCCTCACTGGTGGTGATGAGGGTCAGGAGAGATGCCAGGGTATCCTGTTCATGCAGACATGAATGGGAATGAATGGCTTAGTTGTGAGCCACGTCCTCAATCAGAAGCATGATTCCAGGGATTCTGGGTCATGGTGTATGGGCAGCTTCTCGAATTCCTGATGATGTCCACTGTGCAGAACTGTGTACCTAGGAAGGATGGAAAGAAAGCTTGAGAATTTGACAGGCATCCTTCAGATGCACCGAAGACAGCACTCCCACCCCTCTTGACTTCCTTTCTGCTGTACACTTCCGAGAGCATGGCGAGGTGGGGCCACGCAGGGGCTGGTACTTCATCAAGAGGGAAGCCCAAATAACAGCATCTGAACTGTTTATTTTAAAGGTGAGGAACTGAAGTCCTGGAGGAAAGGGGTACATGGAGGGTGAGAGGCAGAGCTGGGATTGGTACCCAGATTTATTTCCCCATAACAAAGCCTGGGGCTCTCGTGTTACTCATCAAAATGGACCCTATGTACCACTTCAAGCAGTATCTACATATGCTCAGTTCCCAAGGGATGGCTCTGGGTTCAGCAATAGCCAAGTTCTGACTGAGGTTAGTAAACCACTCAGAGCCTGAAAGACAATGTAGCTCTGTTTGTTAGTTGGATCCCTTTTGGTGACATCTGGGATCGTAAACCCATTAGATGAATCCAACAGCAAGTTGACTCTAAGCATCAGAGTGAAATTTACTACTTGACAAGTGTGTATTATTTTTCTGCAGTATCACACGGTTACACTCAATATGTTAACTGCATTTAAATCAACCTCAACTGCAAGTGGGTCCTGTCATCAGTAACCCAGTTTCCAGCACCTGGCAGTTATTCTTATGACATTATACAGTTCAGGAGCGCTATTACCTCTCATTCCCAAGGCCAGTGTAAAGCCCATTCAGTAAAACAAATCAAAGAACACATACCACTTACCTGGCATCATATGTTGACAACCAACTTGGGGGTGGTTTCTCAAGAATTATATTGATGCTTTCCTTTGAATTATAATAATTTATTGCTCACTCATGTTGGCTGGTTGGTATATACAAGGTACCAGGTACTAAACTCTCTCCACGCATTACCTTATGTAATCTGCACGACAGCCCCATGAGATGGTTATTATGTTTATTTTTCATTTAAGCAAAATGACACATAGCTTCAGTGACTTGCCCAAAGGAGTACAGGTAATATGTGAAGATACAGCCAATCAAACCTGGTCTATCTGATACCAACACCCACGTGCTGAACTGGTTCGCACACAAGCCATGGAGTAGGTGTAAATTTAAAACAGTGAGTCTTAATCGGAACAATCTGGAGGCACTTTTGGTTGTCATGGCAGGGGCGATGCTACTGGCAGATATCTAGTGGGTAGAGACTGAGGATGCTGTTACACATTGTTCAATACACAGCACAGACTCCCACAACAAAGAATTATCTGGCCACAAATGTCCATAGTGCCCTGATCTAGAATAAAAAGTCCTCCTAGCTGGATAGAAGCAGGTGTTAGCTGAGGAACACAAAGTGAAGGGCATGAGTCTGCTCTCACAGAACTGTCACTGCGGTGCTGCTAAGACAGAGGTAAGCAGACGGAATATGGCCTGAAGAACCACAAGCACCTGCTAGGTGAGTGTTGAGGAGAAGAATGAAGTGGGAAGGGTTATAGAAAGGGTCGGATCACACAGTCTTCATGAAGGCAGCCAGGGCAGGTCCCAGTGAGATATGTGAGTAGAGGCTTTAGGGAGGTCAGCATGCCAGCTACTGAGTCATAATCTCTCAGCCTCAACACCACCCTTCTAAGCTTGGCTTTGTGCTTCTGCAAACCAAATGTTGGCTTGTCGGCTAGCTCCTATCAGGCTCCTCCAACTGGCAGAGCCTGGAAGCCTGGAAGGAGGAGAAGGACCTTGCTGCTCCTGTGAGCCTGCTACCTACTCCTGCTTCTCGTGAGCATCACCCCAGCCACGCTTCGTCCGCCCAGCAGCGGCGATGCCTGGCAGTTGCCTTGCAGTAGCAGCGGAAAGTCTTGTTTACAGTCTTTCCAACTCTTGCATAACCAGCTTCACGGCAGCCCCTCAGAGATAGTGCCTCCTCCTCAGAGGTCAAGTTTCTGCTCTGTGGGATCCCTCTAAGTCTCTACATTTTTTTGGTTATTCCCTTTTTTCCCTCAGCCCTAGAGGGAGCAGTTGCTTCCTCCAGTTGCTACCTCCATATACACTATTAAAATATTGTTTAAATAGCTGGTGTGGTTTCTGTCTTCTGTCTGGATCCTGTGAGATATAATGAAGAATGGAGGCATGTGCATATCTGGGAGAAGAACATTCTAGGTAGAGGGAACAGCAACTGCAAAGGGCTTCAGGCTAGATCCTGTCTGGAACGTCTGAAGAAAAGCAAGGATGCTGGGCGCCAAGGCAGAAGGAGTGAGGGGCGGAATGGAAAGAGTTGAGAGCTGAGGTCAGTAAGGTAGCCGGGGCCAGAGGGTTGGCGTGGAGGGGCCACGGCTGGCAGGTCCCGATAAGGCTTTGACTTTTCCCACATGTGAAAGGTTTGAGCAGCGCCCTGACATGATCTGAAATGACTTCTTAGCAGGCTCTCTCTGGTTGCTCTACTGAGAGTAGATGGAATGGAGGTGGGGTGAGCACAGGGAGACCAGTTAGGAGGTTACAGCAATAATCCAGGTGACAGAGTAGTCTGCTGTTATACTTCATACCAGAAGGTTTAGCCTCTCAGACGCTGTCACATGTGTCAGTGCTTCCCTTGCCTTGGCTCACCAGCTGGAGGCTGTGTCATGCAGCATAGTGACGAAAACTATGACTTGAGTCCGACAGACCTCATTCCCATACCAGGCTCTACCACTTAACCAGCTCTGTGATATTTAGCAAGTTATTCAATCTTTCTATGCCTCATTTTCCTCCAGGGTAACTGTGAGTGATGATACCGACCTCACAGTACTGGTGTGTGGACCAAATTGCATCACGTATGAAAAACACTAGCACAGGGTCTGGCACAAAGTAGAATCTCAAAATATTGAAACTGAAATTATTCTGTTTACTTCTTTCCCTCAATGCCTCATTTAGTTATGAGTATATAATAATGACAAGAATTATATATGCACAGCAGTTTACTGTTTAAAAATATTTTCCTCCTTTTTTTCCTTTATAGGTAAAACCTAAAAGAACTCAAGATGTAGAAGGTTCCCAGATCTTGTCTTTCTCCCTTATCAGAATCACAAGAGCTCTTTTGGCAAGCAGGTGTACCAAAACAGCACTAACTGATTTTCCCACCCATGACTTTATTTATAGGTAGCTCTTCAGGCCAGGCAAGGTAGGCAATAAGACCAACATTATACAGAGGAGAAAACTGAGACTCAGCTCAGTTACGTGAGTACTGAGCATCATGGTAAGTGAGTGGCAGAGCCTGGCCAGGACCACCGTCAGATGCTTGCCTGTTGCTCTTGCCCCTGAATGGCATTGCTTAATGACTTAAATACAGGTCTTCAAACAAGGGCTCAGAACCAAACACCCCTGTGAAATGGGGCTGTACTGCAGTATCCGAAAATCATACACAGCTCATTTTATGAAGGAATTAGGATATACACCAGGCATAATTTTTGGTAATTACACACATGACTTCATTTTTATCATTTACTTTTCACAACCCTAAGTGGTAGCAACTATACTGGGACCTACCTTACAGATGAGAAAACTGAGGCTCAGAGAAACCAAGCAGCAATTTATGTAAGGTCACAGTGTCCACGATGCCCACACTCTTAACCTCAAAACACACTCCTGAACCTTTGCCCTGTTCATGGCCAATAAGCCACGTTCACTGGCAATCAATCAAGTCCACATGAAGAGGGTGTCCTGGTTGAGGTACCTTTTGGTATTTCTGATCATATAAGAAGATATACTGCATGGAATCAGGCACACGTCTACAGAAGCCTTGAACACGTCTTTCCTGAGTATCTATTTCTCATGTGCTAGTAAGTGAATTGTTCAGAGTAACAAGTGGAGACTCCCCTTCTCCAGAGTTCAGTGGAAAGGCAGCAGCTCTCGTTCCATGTGAGGGTGAGCAGACAGGCATGTGTTCTGTTACAACCTTTGGGTGGTCCTCTCACCGCGGTGGGTGATGCACCCAGAAAGGAGGAGCTAGTCTGAGATTTCCTTGGCAGGACTCTAGCAGAGGGCAGTGTGTCTCACATGGAGTCTGGCCTGCAGAGGTTTTCCCAAATCTCATGAGATATATTTTTAATTTGGTATTTTCACTTTGATAGTAAATAAACAATCTGAGCAGATTTGGGATGACCTAGAAGCCACCTTATGAACTCATACTGCCTTGGGAATTCAGAGCTTGAATTGCACTCAGGTCCACATGATGTTGTGGTGACAACGAATGACGGTGCAGTGTTTCTCTAATAAGGGTACATGAAAGTACATGATACTGCAGAACAGCATTCAAATCCTGACTCTACCATGTACTAGTTGTGTGACCTAATCAAGTAGATTAGTTCTACCTACCTCACAGCTTTGCTGGGACGATAAAATGAACAGCTATAAAGGGCTTAGCAAAGGTCTGGACATGTAGTGGGTGCAGAAATCTTCGCTGGTAAGGAAACCAAGGTGCAAAAAATGTGAATTTCCCAGGGTCAGAGAAGGAGTTATGTATGGAATGGTTAAGAGTATAGGCTCTTGAGTCAGAATGCCCGGGTTAAATCCTACCTCTGGCACTGACTAGCTCTGCGAATTATTCAAAACGTTCTGGGTTGTTGTGGGCATTCAGTGAAATAACGCACGTAAAATGCTTATTACAACAACGACAGCCAGCTAGTAAGCACTCCATAAATGTTTATGAGAGCTGTTCCTATTTGATGACAGAGGTAAGGCTTGAACACAACGCTTGATTGCTGATTCAGTGCAGAAATCCATTCTTTAATAATTAATCAAATGTTTGTTCACTTAGTCATTGATCACAGGGCTGAAAGAAAGCTTCAAGATGGCTTTACAGACAAAGAAACAGCCCCAGAGAGAGACAGTCATCTGTTCTGAGTGGCAAAAGTCTCTCAGCTCTGTTTGGTGTAATATCTTACTTGCAATCTTGCAGCTGTGCTGGGGAAAGCAGACCCCAGATATGTGGGTGTACCTGGGCAGTTCCAAGTCCAGATGAAAA